ACTAGGCATTTTGCATTTGCTGGATGTGTGTGCTTGCTCAAAAATAGTTCAGTTCAATATTTTATGAGATTAAGTATTGAGTTATCAATTGAGAGTTTGAGTGTGAGAGAAACCGTTACGATGTTAAACTTAATTTTCTTCACTATGTGAACAATCTTTCCTGTGGAGGGTCATGTTGATTGGACCACTTATTTTGTATTGTTTTTTTTTCTGCTCTTGATTGTTTGATTATTTTACACTTTCACAATGGATGCATTTGACCTATTATTCATATAATTTTATTTCCTTATTTTGAAGTTATTAATGTTGGTAAATCTCACAGGCAGGCAACTTCAAGATCTTTATGCCTCTTGGATGAATTTGGTAAAGGAACTCTTACAGAAGGTATGCTGAATATAGCTTTCTATATTTGGGTATGCTTTTGCATTTATGTTCATTGCTAGATGTTGTCAATGTTTGAATCAGATGGCGTTGGCCTGCTTGGTGGGATTATTAATCAGTTCGCTACAAATGATGATCCTCCGAAGGTAAGGCCTCCTGCTATTAGTGAAGTTTAGTCTGGCTGCTGAGTATACCATTCAATTTCCCTTGATTTTCCAGTCAAATCCTTCAAGAGATCTTTCAGCGTGGTCCTTGACTGTTGACACTTCTTGCTCTTATGTTAATATTGTTTTCCACTAATTTTATGTATTGAGGACCTTAATCTTTACTGCTTTTCAGGTTCTCATGTGCACTCACTTGACTGAATTATTTAATGAGAGTTTCTTGCCAAAAGTATTGTCTTATTTCTGCTTAAGCTCTCACCACTTCCAAATCTCTTGTATTGAAAAACTGAAGCAGTGTTTCTGATTAATTTCAGTCCAAGAAGGTCAATTTTTACACCATGAGTGTGCTGAGGCCTGACACCAATTCTACAGATGTTGAAGATATTGTTTTCTTATATCGGTATATGATTTGTTGCCTCTACATGACGTTTAGGATGCTGATAGATTGCTTCATTGTGTTCATTATTGGTAATTAAGCGAAGTTATAATACATAAAATAGTAGGATGTGGGACCCAGGGAAGCAGTAAAAGAATGGATTTTAAGTCAAGTAGGATCTTTAAGGAACTAATACGAATTAAAATTATTTAAATATTTATATTAATTATTTAGATTTTGATTTAGATTTAGATTAACAAATTGGAATAAACTAGGATTAGGATTCTTAGAACTATAATTAGATGTAAATTAGGATTTGGGATAAAATTGGGACACACTTCCTAGAATTGTAATAGAGATCTAATTCAATTAGTTTCCTTCTAAATATATCTATTATCATAAATAAAATCATCAAGCTATTCTTTTAAAGAGTTTATTTATAAAAGATCGGAGGTTCTCTTAGACGAACCTCACATAGGTCAAGGAAATCTAGGAAGCAAGCAACTTGCTGGCTCCAAGATTTCACACTAACAGGCTCCATGACCAAATCTGAAGCCTGGGACCTATCAAATTGGTATTAGAGCCGGTGGTTATGGAGGAGAGTTTTCGACAACAGTTAGAGACATTCATGAAGCAATACCAGGAGGATCATGTCTGCTCAAGAGAGAGGCAGTATGAGCTTGCTACTTAGGTTGAAAGCTTATACCAGGAATTGTCAGCTACAAGGAGGGAGATTGCCAACACCACTAGTTCAACAAAAAGAAGAGAAAAGAAGCTAGTGTCTCCAACAACAATATAAAATGTGGAAGTATGGTGCTGTGATTCGCAAAGCTAAACTTTCCTAGATATGATGGCTTAGTTGATATGTTGCAGTGGATTAATAGGTCCAAGCACTTGTTTCAACACCGAAGGACTGCTGAAGAAGACAAGGTGGGCTTAGCTTCTTTCAACCTTGAATATAATGCACAGCTATAGTCCCTAAAGTTGGAAGGAGACCAATCAGAGCCTTCATGAGAAGAATTTAAATCTTACCATAACCTTAGATTTGACCTCCTGATACACATATATAAATTGGGAGAATTGGTTAAATTGAAGTAGGATGGAACAGTTGCCAAGTAGTGGCGACGTTTCGAGCAGCTTTCACTGTTTGCATCTGCCCTCATCTTTGAGCAAGAAGTTGAGATCTTTGTCAGTGGTCTCCAAGAATATATGACTGTTGAAGTCGAGCTACAATAGCCACCTGATATCAGTACTGTTATGAGTTTGGCAAGACTCTATGAGAGAAGGGGTGATCAATGGAAATCAAGGATAAAAGCAACACCAACCTACCATTTTCAAGAAATTGAGTAAGAACGAGATGGAAGACAGGAAGAAGGGCCTACACTTCAACTATAATGAATCTTTTGTTACAGTATGTTTGTGTAAAAAGGTTTTTTTGGTTGGAATTTGAGAATGATGAGGTAAGAGCTGAGGATGAAGCGAGGGACGAGAAAATATTCCACTTTGGTGCTCGCAACAAGCTTCAGTTCAAGGAGGCAAGAAATGTCACAGTATAGAAAATAGTAGGACTTGGGACCCACAGAAATAGCAAAAAGAAAGAAGTTTGAGTCTAGTGGAAGTTAGTTTCATTGAAGCACTAATGAGAGTTAGAAGTATTTAAAAATTTATATTAATTAGATTAGAAAATTAGAATAAAGTAGGATTAGGATTCCTAGAACTATAATTAGATTTAGATAGGACTTAAATAAAACTAGGATTATCATTCCTAGAATTGTAATAGATATCCAACTTAATTAGTTTCTTTATAAATACATATATTATTATAACTAAAATAATCAAGCTATTAATCCAAAGAGTTTATCTCTAAAAGATTGGAGATTCTCTTAGATAAACCTCATCATCAATTATAAGGTTGAAAAAATGAGAAGCAAGCAACTTGCTTGCTCTAGGATTTGACTCTAGTGGGTCCTCTAATTAGATACAAAGCCCGGAACAGTATCAAATGAGCTCATATTCCTCGAGAAAAACTTCCACTGCATGTTTTCAGAAAATACATCTACAATGCACTCTACAGATATTTTTAATCCGTTCCTCTAAAGAAGATGCACCGTTAGATTTTATTTGTGACTTCCACGTGAATGCTATATTTGGTCAATGTTTAATAACAATGCAAGAGGGTAGTTGCAATCCTTGAATATATGTCTATATGTCAGCGCTTAAAAAATATATTTATACAGTGTTTCACCCTCTTTGCAGCTTAGTTCCTGGATACGCACCTCTTAGTTATGGTGAGTATGTTTTTCCTTTTGTATATGCAGAAATCTGTTTTGGAAGTTCTTGAGAATCATGCGTATTCTTTCATGTTCTGCAGGTCTGCACTGTGCATTACTAGCTGGTACACTCGAAATCTCCCTGATATCAAGCAAAATTCTTATGGTTATTTAAATTCAGTGAAAGAGTAGCTCAAATAACAGAACAAGAAATGACAATAAAATTTCTTGGTGCAGTTATAAGTAATTATATCATTTTCTTCTTAAATATGTTTTGCTTCATAAATAGTTACGAAGGACCACATTTTTCAGTTGTAATCTGAAAATTATAGATCAAGGTGCTTCTGGTCCATTTACAATAGATCAATGGGAATTATATCAGAGAGAGAAGTTTGTGATCAGCCAACAGTCTGTAGTCCTTTTCTACCCCTTTGCATTCATTAGTAACAGGCATCTGTTGTAGGTTTATGCATGGGTAGCAAGTGTAGAATAATTGTGTACCTCAGTAATTCTTGCTCCTCTATATGCCTCATTTTTTTCCAACGTGATATTGACTTATGATTGACTCTTCCTGAGATCCTGAACGGTTGCTTTGATATGGTTTGCGGATCTTGGTTGCTGGTGTAGGTTCAAAACTTGCATTATGTGTTCTCATACTATGATTTTGGTATTATTTGAGTCCAAACCTTGGAAGGATCTTTAACTGTTCAATTTTCTGACTAAATGACTTTCATCGTTCATGCAGGTATCCCGGAGGAAGTGATCAAGAGGGCAGCAATCGTATTGGATGCTTTTGGGAGTGACAACTATGTTGAGCGATCATGTAATGAGAATATATCATTACAAGATCAACAATACAAAGTATGCATCTATATCTTAAGAAGCTACATTCTAAAATAATATCTGCTCTTGATTGTGGCTTTTAAGCTGGTTTTTTATTCTTTTGTTCAACGTTCCCCTGAACTTTTGAAAAGGAGATAAAATACTCAATCTCCATTAATTTTCTCTAATACTATCTGGCATCACTAACATAAATATTTTTCAAAAAAAAATATATTGAATTTAAAAAATTTATTTCAAGAACAAAAATTTTTTTAAATACATTGCAATACAATCTTACTAACCTTATGTTTGTATGCATTTTAACCAAAGGCATATAATGCTATATCAAAGACAATTTACCATACATTCTACTTTCTTTAAGAAAAAAATTTGGCAAATTTTTTTTAGGCAAATTTTTTTTACTGTAGAGAGGCTAAGTTTAATTCATGAACTGAATGTAGAATGCAGTGGACAAGATGATGGCTTTTGATATTCTCAACGGAGATCTCAAACTCTTCCTGCAAGACATATTTCGCTAAACCCTTACGATATTTCGCTGTAAATCCTTTTCTTGAAGCATCAAAAATGTGCCTTACCAAATTGCCCTCTTCTAATTCTCATAACTCTATTGAGTTTTAACTATTTCATGAATCTTCTGAGAATTCTTGTGCATCTGATTGGTACTTTTGAGGTCTTCCTTCACCCAATTTTGTTATCTTCTTTTTATATATATTTTTTAGATAATTATTTTTTTACTTCTTACTGAAGATATATGCTTTAGCTTATCTTTTGGTTTCAGTGTGTTTGATCATTAATTACTTTACTGCGATAGGATTTTCGTGGTGAGAAAATCAAAAGCTGTATATAGGTTAGGCAGGGTGGTGAAGAACATTTCTCATGTGGCAGGAATAATAGATCAAATAATAGCTAATACCACTTCATGTGCCACTCAAGTTGCCATTTTATTAGGTTGGAGTTTGGATCAACTCACATGCAGTTCCCAGATGTTTGTCTACTTTAATATGCCAAAATGGAGAAAAATGATATGTACCCACAAACTTACCACTTACATGTTTGATCGTTTTAGAATTTTATCTCCCATGAACAACTGTTTCATTAAATTTTGTCTATTAGAAGTAGCACAAGTTTAGAAATAAGAAATAGATTTCTTCAAACCAAATCCACATTCCCCCATATAATAGCAAAACCTTTGTTTGTCAACATAGTCTTTTGAATTTGAAAAATCTAATAAATAAATACAACCTTAGTCAATAAGTAATATGAGGAAATTATTTTTAAATATAAACAACGTCATTAGTATGATTATAATTTAAATTAAGTACAAGTAAATACTATGTGAGAAAGTCAAACTCTTGAGTGTTTAATGTCAAATTTTGATATTTTTGAAGTTTAATTATCAAAATTGTAAAAACTTTTAAAATATTATTTACAGCCTTAATGCATAAAAATGTTAGTATTTTAGTATGTTAGTACCATATTGTTAATAATAATAATAATATAGTACAATTAATGATAAAATAGTAAAATACTAACATAATTAAAGTATACTCATATTTTATGAATATCGGTAATGTTATTATTATTAGTGATGACAAAAGTGTATCGATTATTGAAAAATTTACTAACGTAAAAAAATTATTTTGTGCAATGTATAAATACTAATGTAGTGTTACATATTACATTTCTATTAGTAACTTACAAAAAAATTAAATTGACTTATAATGTTTAAAGTAAGATATTTATTATACTATTAGAAAAAATATGAACTAACCTTAATGTATATATGTTATATAACATGATTTTTTTATTAAAAAAAATTTCAAATAAAAATATATATATTATATATATAACATCAAGAGAGTGTCGTTTTTTATATAAAATTATTTACAAATAAGTGAAGACATTAAATATTTTCTCAAAACTATTTTACTGGTATACATTATGATTCAAAATTAAAATTTCATATAAAATAATTTTTTTATTAACATATTATTTTTACGAAGAGCAAAAATATTAATATGGAAAAAATATTTATATTTTAAAACTTTTACATTTTAATAATTAAATTTTAAAAATCGTAAATTGAATGTTATACTCTTGTTTTTTGAAGGATAACTTTTTTTTTTCTTCTTAATCAGATAATCATTCTTACTTTGTTTGAAATCTTCTAATCCCATATAGATTATGGTAGCTAAGAAAGACATTCAATAAATCTTTGCAAATAATGAAGAGATGGAGTAAATTGTACTCCATTGATTATTAAATTTAGAAAGGTTAAAAGAACAAAATTAACTACTCTTTTTTTTTTTTTGGGTTTGAAAAATAGCTACCTACCTCTTTGATCAGCTTCATACGAAGTAAAGACAAAAGAAAGTAAAAGTAAAAGTAAAAGTAAAATTGATATTGGAGATTTCTAAGAAAATATCCCAGTTAAATAATAGTAAAATTGACATTTGAATAATATAAGGGTTAATTATCCAATAAGAAAAGACAACATTATCCATTGCCTATTCATCAAAATATTTTATCTACTTCACATCATTTCCCTTATCCCTTTGCCAAAAATATGATTTTAATTAACTAAGAGTAATTATTATTTTAATATAATATAGTGTTTTTAATATTTAAAATATTCTTAAATTAAATTTTGCAGATTGATTTTTACTTTCTTTTCAAATAATAAAGTTATATTTTCTTGATTCATTCAAAATTCTAATGTGAAATAATTACTCATAATTATCAAAATAAATATTGTGTCTTTTTTTGTTAAAAAATTTTAATATATAAATCTTAAAAGATCTTATTTTTAGTACGATAAAAATTTAGTTAACAAGGTAGAAAATAATATATTTTTTTTAATAAATTTTAGTATATATCATGATGTGATTTTAAAAATTGATATATACATTCAATTAAATTAAATTTTATTTCTTAAACAAGAATTATAAATTTAAAATTAAAATTTTATAAAATTAATTTTAATTATATTATGTTACATAATTTATTTTTAATTATAACATAATATATAACAAATTTATACAGAATAAAAATCAAAATCACTTAAATATTGGTTAATAGAATCATATTGCACGTCTTCTGTCAGTACCAAAAACGACGCAGCTTAATTTAATGCTTCATAAAAATAAATAAATTTATACTCACTAAAAGAGCGCACATGAATGAGTATTAAAATCACTGGCGGGTCCCACAAAATTAGAAGTCTACTCTTCTCCCAATCTCCTTCATCCCCATTGCAAAGTACTCTTCTCTCTCCCTTTCCCTGATGTAATCTGTCTCCTTCTCTCCTTCAAAACGGTGCCGTTTCTCGTTTTCCTCGTGTCGTTTCATTGATACATCTCCAACACATCTTAACCTGCGCATCTAGCGGGTGCGCCCACTATGGAGGCGCACTCCTCATTTGTCTCCAAAGCCAGGACTGCCTTCCATTCTGCGGCTGCTAAAGCGGAGCGTGTTTTCACTGATTTGAAATCTGATCTAGGTATCTAAGTTTTCCTTATTTTAAAAAAATCTTAATGAATTCCTTTTAATATCTATCGCAGGTTTTTTGTTTTTAGTTTATATTTACTAATTTTGACTGTTAACAGATAATCCTCTCATTACGTTTCTCTGAATTTATTCGTCTTTTTATATTTTACTTTTTTATTTATCGTACTGGATTGGATTTTTGCTGTTATAATGAAAAATTGATCACCGAGTTATCTTCTTGATTAATCGGCGAAGATTCTGATAAGCGGTCACCGAAGGAAGACGATGAATCAAAGGTAAACGTACATTTTCGCTCGAATTTACTTTTCGTTTTCTGGAATTTGGAATCGCTTTTCTCGGTGAAACTGAATTTTGATTTGAATCGAATTTTCTCCTTTTGGTTTATGTTGATTGAAGCTGTTCAGTTGTTTTCTTTTCTTTTGTTTTTTGCGCTTTTGTAATTTAAATTTGTAAAGATGTCAAGTCGTTTCAGTTTGGTTGACGAGAAAATGGAAGAAAATATTTAAGGTTATTCTAAATATTTTTTTTTAAATGTTGAACTGCTATCACGCTGGGCAGGCTTTATTTCAAGAAAAAAAAAATCACGCTAGGCAAGCTGATATCAATGAGATAGAATAGAGCGGAACTCTTTTTCCTATTGATGGAATCGAATCAGTTTATGATTCACTTAGTTCAGTGTAGAATTAAGGAATTTGAATTATATTTTATCCTGCAAAATTTTCAACAGAATTGTTATTCATGTGGTCTTCATGCGATAACACATTTTGCATACTGATGACTTAGCTGTTTAAAAGTTTCTTACCTAAAATCAATACTGTTATCTGGTTCCTCAGTTGTATTTTTTGAAACAGGAACAGCATGAAGTGAAGCCTCCAAGGTGGAGGCCTGCTCATATTGGCACAAAACAGGACTGGCAAGACAGATTTAAGAACATTAGAATAGGGAGAAAAGTAGTCGAAAATCCTGAGAAAGTGGACAATTCTGCCATGGCTGTGCCTTTTTATGATGAGAATGTATACCTGCTTAAAATGAAAAATGATCTTGAGTCAAAGGTAGGAGACTTTTTACATATTCAGTTCCTTTGCCTTTTTGCCTTTGTCCATGCTATTTTCTTCATTTTCCCATTTTTTATAGAGATTTCAATGCTTGTTATTCTCATCAGATTGAACAATTGTTAGTGTTGATTGATGTGAATTATTTGCTGCTTGCCTCGTTTAATATCGTTTTTAGTAAATGGATTATTTCCTTTTTATGATGATTTGGTTGTTTTATAGGGGTCAGAAGTTGCTGCCTTAGTAGAGCGCTTAAATTCGATAGATGCAAATAGTATTCCTCCAACATCTGTCATGAAGCAACTGGCTATAGCTGTTGAGTGAGTTTTGGGATATATTAAATTATTATTGAACTTTCTCAAGAAGAAAAAAAAAGAGCACTTCTAAAATTGACTATCCTCAGAGAACATGCTGATTTTTTTTAAATCTGTGATTTACCCCCACTAAGTGCTATTTCCTGTTTACTGTATTAATCATATCTTTGTTTTATTTTCATTCCTTCTGAACTAATTTCCAGGGCTGGAAAGAGGTCTAAATCAATTAAAGACTTTTTGGCATCAACTGGAGATTCATCACCTGTCAGGGAGAGGGCAGCTTTGACCCTGTCTGCAGTGAAGTCATTAGTTCTTCGTGACAAAGAGGATAAAGTTGGATTTGATTCGGGTGATGAGGATAAAGTCTTGTCATTGATAAGTTTGTTGTTTGATGGAGGTATGTTCATATGCTATGAGCCTGCGGGACAGCACCTTCTCGTATGAGCATAATTTTCATCTTTAACATTTTGTCAATATCCTTTGATGATCTTTCATTTTGATTGTAATATATGCAAGATGTTCACAGAGGGGAACTTCCTCAGAAGGAAGACTGGCTCTGATTCAGAGGCACTTTACGACTTGACATCTTTTCCTAGAGATATTCATGGTGCTCCTCCTGAGAGCTTAGTTGTTAAGCTGGCTGAAGTAATTGGAAGTTTTAAAACAATGCGGAGAATGGCTTTGTTTTGGTGCAAGGTTGTTACCGAAGTAAGTGGCTGCTTTGAGCTCCTATTGTCTGAACTAATTTGAATTGTTGATGTTCAATGAGAACCTTGGTTGTTTAGATGTCTCCTTGATCTTGAAGAACTGAGAATCTTTTTTTTTTTTTTTTACATGAGAACTGTTATGATATGAGCTTCTAATGTCGTCTTTACATCAGATTACAGGGAGCACATATTTTGTCATCTTATGCGGGCAACTATATCTTCCATATGCCTGACTTCTTTTTTTCCTGACAATTAATATTTCTTATTCTAAGCTTTTTTTTTCACCCAATTTAGTAAACCATACATATTTAATATTTTGATACATTGTAGCGGAATATGCTGCTTGACACTTATTGGTATTTCTCTCCTGAAAACTCGTTTGGAATCCTTTAAACATGCAGTTGAGAAGACTTTGGTCTGAAGAACAACACGTGCCAGGCATTCCTCTGGATGAGATTCCAGATTTAAATTCCTGTCTTTTGCATCAGCAATTGCAGGTTATGAATTGTTGTCTTTCCAGGAAAAGACGACGCACCATCGCCACTGAATCATTAGATTCTGTAATGAGGCAAGCCAGTTCAAGTATTGATGAATCAGCTGTTTCTACAGGCACGGTTTCTTCAAGCGCTCTACTGTACGCTAGGACTAGCAGTGGAGAGCTTGTTCTCCGATTAGGAGCTGATCATCAAGTCGAAAAATTTAAATTGTTGGAAACTGGTGAGCCTGTATATGCTCCTGTTACACAGGTTAGATCAATAATATCTTGAATGATTAACACCTTTTCAATACTACTGGCTTGATTTATTTCCAAAAGAAAAAGAATACTGCCATGACTTAGACCTATATTGATCTATCCCAATATAGGAAGGACCTTTGCTTACAGAAGATGTCATCAGAGAAACGGAGGAGTTTGTGCTCCGAACAGGGAGGTGAGGATGCTTGACCTTGTAATAATGATTTCAAGGCAGTACCTCTTAATATTTTTCTAATGATCCTCTTAAATAAACATTTTTCTCGCAGACATCCTTTTGCTAAATGCTCCAGTAAGATTGTTACCTTTTTAAACTTTTATTATCTTTCATGTTCTTTTGGGTGCTGAAAGATATGTTAATGATATTTGACTAAAACTTTTAGTTATTAATTTGAGATCACTAATTAGTTTATATAACATATTTGAATGGTTTTTTTGGGAATTATCCACTAATGTTGGGAGCCAATGCGTGCTTTATCCTTGATTATTTAAATTTTTTTATGCTAGGGATGTAGATCATAATTCTAACATAAAATTAATGGTAAATTATCAATTTAGTATCCGAACAATGGGTTGTGTTACAATTCAGTCCAAAACTTTTTCATACCAATTAGGTCATTGGACTTATAAAATATATTTTAAACATAATCTTTTTAATTAAATTTTTTACAGAAATGGAAAAGCTTTTTCATGTGTTGCTTGAGTTACATTAAAATGACTTGAATATATAATTCTTCTATATAGGATTAGGAATTGAAAAAAAATATCCAAAAAGTAGTCATTGCAGCCTTCATTTTCTTCCTTGATGTCTATTATAATCTGCATGGTTTAACAAAACAAATTAATCATTCTTTTTAAGTTTATTAAGATCAGTACTCAGTTGTTACAACTTTCTTATTCATAGAAAACAAAATATGAGTAAAATAGAAATAGTTTCTGTTGTATTCTATCAAAATTCTAACAATTCCATAGAAAAATCAGAATTAAAATAATTTTGTAAGTTGAAGGACCAAATTATAATGAAAAAAAATTTTAGAACCTGATTAAATAAATGGTCATGGTGAAGTATAATTTATTTAGGGTATATTGTATTTGCTTCCTGTCAAGAGTACTGAAAAGTTTCAGTTATGTTCTTCAATTGGTGAGAGTTTGAAGAGAGAGAGAGAGAGAGAGAGAGAGAGAGAGAGAGAGAGAGAGAGAGAGAGAGAGAACTTTGATAGGAGCTTGGCAAAATTTCTGGTTAACAGACAGGGAAATCTTCAGTTTTTGAACCTTTCCATTTTCTGCAGGATATTTCCAATCTCATTTCTTCGTTTCCCTGGCCAAGAATGATAACAGTTATCTTTGCTGTGATTAGTTTGGGTCTGCAGCATGTTCTTGACATGGAAAATGATTTTCAGTCTACTTTTATATCCAATATTTGCTTAGTTTTTTATCTGTTTCTTTTTACATATTCAATATTTTGATGACTATGCATTTGTATGTATTGGTGATTGTGTAAAATTGGTTGCATTCAACCTGTCAATGATGTTTGGCACCCTTTGTTTTGCTGATGTTAGCATCTTACGACTAACATGAAGAAAATGCTCTTATTTAGCTAAACATTTCTGTCACATTATTGTAGCTTTCTTTTGACAATTTCCTTCTCTTTGATGGTCAGCATGGGTGCTGGGTGTTCTCAACTCCTCTCTGACATGCAGGCTTTCAAGGTGATTTATGGAATGAAAGTTTTTCTATCTAACAGATAGACAATAGGCTTAAAAAATATTAGGACAGTTTTTAAGATGTACTTAACTAAATATTGCTTCTAACTGTATTAGGCTGCAAATCCTGGTTGTATTTTAGAAGATTTTGTGAGATGGCACTCCCCACCAGATTGGACTGAAAGTGAGCTCTGTAATGATGAGGTAAAATCCTGTGAAGATGGTGATTCTTTGAGTACAAGAGGTCAACTAAGTAGTAGAATGCAAAAAGAAGGTATACCTTGATCTTTTTCTCTTTGACTAATTTTCTGCATTTGAAGTCTTTTATTAGTGTTCCAAAATGTTGATAGTCAATACTAAGTGCAAGTGACATAGTAAACACTGGTATGCTGATGCAAAATAAAGGGAATGCTATTTTTGATGCTCAATTTCCATCTAGAAAGAAAATCTCTATTATTGTTGAGTACTCTCCATTTAGCTAATGAGTATTTGCAATTGGACAAAGTCACTTAAAAAGTCTTCTGGTGAAGTGACATGGTTGATCCTCATTTTTAGTTTTTCCAAGAGGGGATCCTTGTTTTCTGCTTGATTTTCATTTTGAAATGGAACAGAACTTTTGGCTGGTGGTTTGTCTATGCTTCTGGTACATGGTCTAGAGCTGTTATCTTAATGATCTGGGTTTATTGAAAACCATGAGTCCTTGCCCTTGAAACCCCAGTGGAGGATCTCATTAAATTAGCAGATGCATCAGATAGACATATGGTACATGTGGTCCTTACCAATGGCTTGGTTGTGTTATAAAAGACGCAGAGTTTTCAGGGTAAAGTGCAAGTGTCCTGGGAATATTAGTGGGAGGATTTCTGGCACTAATATCTAAAAAATATCCATGTATTGTATTCTGGAAATAATGATTGAGTTTTAAAGGATTTAACAAAAGTTCTGTTCTGTTAGTCTTTAGGCTAGCTTCTCAGCTGGTTTCATGAATTTGGATTTGCATGATGCCTGAGAATGTCTTGGGATGGTTTCAAGATGTGCAAGTAAACAGTCCATGTATATTTAAGAGAGTGTGGGAAGAACATGAGTTTATTCTGCTGCACAAAAATAAATGATAATTTGTTGCATGGATTCTGTAACATGTGGGGTAGAAAGCTGACATATACTAGGAATTTTGAGTACTAGCCATCACTTTCACTTGGTTGGAAATTGTATTATGTCACTGTTTTAACAAATAAGGATGTGTTGATGTTAGGTAATTTGTGGCGTGAACTCTGGGAAACTGCCAAACCAGTGCCAGCAGTTAAACAAACACCTCTGCTTGATGAGGATTTGACAGTGTAAGCTGGAAGGATCATTGTTGATGACACTACCTACAAATTTTAAATTTAAGGATTATGCTTACCAGAAGTGCAATGGTATTGTCAATTTTGTAGTGAAAGTATTCTGAATGCTTTAGAGGACATCTCCCCTTTGGAACTTTTTGAGCAACTCTTTGTTTCTTTAGTAAGTTATCTAATTGAATAAAGTCTGTTTTCTTTTCAAATTTCTGGTTTAAGTTTCCCATAAGTCAACATCCATTATTCATTTATCTTTTTCGCTTCATGCCATAGCAGAAATGGGGAAATTTCTCTTCAAATGTGGCTCTATTTGAATATTAGATGGTATATCATGTAGGCAATGCATTTAATCGTCTCTTTGCGTTCTATTTCTGGTATCATTTTTCTAAAAAATGAAAGCTTAAGAGAGTGGGAAGTCTTAGGACAAAATTTGACACACCGACCCCCCAATTTAAGGGATGCGTATAAAACATAGTGATGTAGGTTCAACTTTAGTCAACTTTAGCCAATTTGAGTGGAGAATGCCTGATCTTCTTTGCTGTAGGTTCAGCTTTAGTAAGATTTGCTTCTTTGGTGTATTTGGCCATGTTCACAAATTTGTGAACATAACTCTCTTAGTTGTGTAGGATAATGGTAAAACATAGTGATGTGTTACAGTTGCTTCAACCTTTCCATTATTCCTGTAAATTCCATTATCAATTTAAAATGTGTCCCAGTCAACTGTATTCTCTAACTTAAATTGGTTTTAAGCAATTCTTTGGGAATAAATTAAGTCTCTGTGACGTGTCATGGGCTTTTTTGAGGCTGGAAGATGTCTCAGGCCCACACGCACTATAATAAAGCTCTTCCTTCTCTATTGGCCTTTAGCGACTTCTGTGAATTCTGTTGACAGAAAACTTGTGGCCCACAATTTATTATTTCTATAATTATCTTTTTTCTTTTTAAAAATCATTTTTATGAGATGATTTGATTAATAGTTCCAATTTTGAAGAAGTAATGGTCATCTTTTCTGAAATTTCAGTTTGGTTTGGGATTCATATTGAGTGAACCTAGATTCTCCACAAACGAAGATTTGTCGAAGCTGTTCAATGAATGCAAAGACTATGCAGTTGCCATTTACCAGGGAGATACATGGAATGAGAAAGTTGATGATCTTTGCCAGGTAAGTTCTGTTTAACTTTGGCAGACTGAATGTTCATGTATTTGACCTATGCTTTGGTGAACCAGTAACCACTGATTATCCAAAATAGTAAATATCATTATGATGGCCTGGATTCCTTATTTCAAACGATAGGAGAAGTTAAAATGGAATACATGCATGCAGCTTATGAGTTGCTGTGATATTTATCCTGTAAATATAATTTTTTTTCCTTTTCCTGTTTCCTATTTCCGCTGCAGTGCTTATGTGGAATTGTGCTAACCCTAAATTCAATATAGTTATGGGTTTTTTGTGGAAGAGAGTAACAGCTCAGAAAGAGATAATCTTTCTTGTTTCAAAAAAAAAAACCTTTTGATTTCTAACAATAAGGGTTTGTCATGAGAAGATCCTGGATCTCTTTGTTAAGGGCTCGTTAAGAAGAAAAAACTTCGATCTCTGAGTTTAAACAAGAAATCACACTTTCCTTTGACAAATTCTGCCTGTTTTTTTCATTTATAGTTACTGTAAATTTTTATAGAAGTTCAAGGACTAGACAAAACACTAGAACTACCTCCTAAGAAATAGGTAACTTCCAAACTTTATTTGTAGCTGCAAAAAATTTATACAAAGTTAGAGACAAAGTAAACTCTTAAACTAACTTGTAAGGAATAAATAACTTCCAAACTGCCTGGTAACTCCCCAACTGTCTGGATTAACCTCGTTTTACATCTAACAGAAAAAGAAAAACCTGCAGTTTTTTTTCCTATTTCAGATCTTGATTCGTGCTCAAAAAAGGATTGTTCATGGAACTACTATTGAAACTCTATCTGTTAACTTTTCCACTATCACCCCCCAAAAACCAAAGCAGAGAACCTATCCTTGGAACTATAGAAAACTAAATCTACCAAAATAATATCTAAGACCTGCATGAAATTTAGTCTTGCTTCTTTCTTGTCTCCATGTGTAAATCACAAAACTTTACTGATCTAGTTCACGACATCAATCTTCATGTTGAATCAGGTTTATGAAACAGTGGAGACTATGTTACTTCGCCCTGAGGAAATCTTAAAACCCGAAGAACCTGCCACCCCTTGTGGTGAACCAAAAAGTAGATTTAAGCGGCTCAGTTTAATTTTTGGTGGCAAGGATAAAGGGCAGAAAAAGCTACCATTGGAACCGCAAAAGAAATCTGATGAGACGCCAACCCGCCAGCCATTCGCCAATTTTTTTGATGGCAAGTCATCTTTATTTTCAAAGAAGCCTCCTAAGCCTGAAAATGCAACCCCATCTGAAAAACCAGATGAAAGTGATTGGACAATTGTCTGATATTCTTCTTTTTCACTTCTTCCTCTCCTTTAGGTTAGTTAGGTTATCATTCTTCTGGTAATTGTAAATTATCCTTTTACAGATGATTGAAAAAAGTGTAAGTTACAGTTACACTTGTAGTTCAATTTTATTACAATTAAAACCCTTATGATATTTTTTGTGAAGGTTATTTGTGCTTTTATAATTTTATATAGAATCCTTGGTCTTTTAAGTTTGAAATTTGTGTTATTAGTTTGTTCTTGTAAAATTATTTTTAATATTTAATTTCTTTAATTCTAAACTTTTATATATTTGTATTTAAAAATTCAGATGCACATAAATATTTTTTAAATTATCATCCTTCTACAGGTGATTGAAAAATTCTGATTTTACTTTTGATTTTGATTCGATCTCTGGTTCTTTGGTTTCATTAAGGTCTCTTCCTATTATTGATAAATAAATGTAAAATTATTATCTATGAAATTTTAATATATTATATATAAAGATTAATCTCAAATTAATAAGATGATTTCATTATATAATTTAAAATATGTGATTTCATTTTTATTTAAAATTTTCATATCTCAAATTTTGAATTAAATATATATATATATATATATCTAAATAAATTATAAAAAATAACTTTTTTTTTTAAACGAAGTAAATTTAACAGTAACTTTTATGCACCAAATAAAAACAGCATTAGGTACTGCTAACTGAATATAAAATGTTTACATCAGGAATCAATTAAACTCAACAATTACATCAGAGTAAAAAGAGGGTTTTTTTTTTTTTTTTTTTTTTCTCTCTCTCTCTTTTTTTAGATGAATGAAAATAAAATAATTGGTGCTGCTCAAAAGTGTACGTCCACCATTGCTTCTTCATATCCTCAGTCGTCAGTAGACTTCTGATCTTCATTAAACTTGTCGAAATGGAAATACTTGGAGACTATATCTGGAACCAAGAAATTTGCAAACCAGTACAAAAACAAAAGTCCCGCACTGAAAAATCAGACGAATAAGCCATTCGTGAATTATCGAGTTACATCTTAAATTGCTGTACACTGCAAATGAATGAATTTGAAGCAAAATTTAAACAATCTATTTCAAAATTTAACACTTTTCATAAAATTTTGAAGGTAAAATAGTTGAATTTCAGTCAACATTCTCGTTAAAGAGTTCAAAATTTTCATTATTTTGACCGAAATCTTTAGTTAACATAATTCTTTTAAATAAATTTTATAAAAATGGAGAAGCAAATAGAGAAAAGCAAGCAAACCTTGTTTGAAGAAATTGAGTAATATCTCCTTTTTGGGGCGGGGTATTGAGAGCAAAAAGAAAAGTGTTGAGGGCACGGGGATTCGACCTGCGAGTCAGCAGTGAGTTTTTGCATCGAATTATGCTGCACTGCAAAGGAATCCTTGTTTGAAAACAGGGATTTGGGTTCAGAATTCTAGTCTGTTGCAGGCCCAAAAGTGAAGGATTCCAATGGATGCACCTCGTCATCGGATTCACACTTCAATTTTCTGTGTGCGCGGATAAGGTTTGGTGCTACGGGAACAACTTTTTCCTTTATAGATATATGTATGTAGTATACCTGTATATGTATATATAGGGTCAATAACCATCTAAGGTTCTTAGTTTAATAATGGAAATCTTAATTTACAACAAAATTTTATTTGAAATATTTCCAGTGTGACACTATTGAGAGATAAGATTATACAATTTTATCTAAAAACTTTAGTTTATTTTGTCCGAATACTCAAATTATGGTCACTTCGCCGTTCAATTTTGTTACGACAAAAAATGATTTAAGAACATATCTCATCGACATTTATCTATTTTACAAGGTAATTTCTTCTCATTTTACCCCATATGTGTTTCAACATTTCTCTTCTAACTCCACAATATTGCATTATTTATTTGTTATAAAATAATTAAAAGAGAATTCTACGAAAAGAAAATGAACTATGGGAGCGGTTGACTGTAACTATTTATCGGACTACACAGAAATATGCTTTTATTTACTCCATTAGAATTTCCAATCAAATGTGTATTTGTTCCAACCCATACAAAAGATAGATTGGTTTGCTTGAATAGAATCTTTTTATGATCAGACTCGATGATCCAATAGAAGAAAGGAACCAGTACATTCCCAAAATAAATAATTATTCAGAAGTGTCATTGACAAAAATTACAACAATAAGGATGGACTTACTAGTTTCTACTTTGCCATCCAGATTATAAATTTTCTTCTTTCTCCTTTTAGGTTTATATAAGGAATATTACTTAATTCTTTTTAGTTGTCTCAGTAGGCATTTAAAGGATGGAATGGATGGTTATTGCAACTACCAAAGTTCAAATGAAGAATACAACACGACTATCACAACATGAAATGACTTTATACCATACTGCCTGCAAAATAGAACAGCTGAGCCCTGTATTTGACAGCCATGAACCACAGGTCTTCACCGACTATCATCCAGCATTCCCACGAGACACTTCTCCAATAAGAACTCAGCATTAACCCAAGCATGGTATTTGTCTAAAGTTGAATTTAAGGACTTAAACTGAACAGATTCATTAGCTTGAAGAAAATTAGAAACAAACAGATTCTCCAATAAGAATTCAGCATTATCGCAAGCATGGTATTTGTCTAAAGTTAAATTTAAGGACTTAAACTGAACAGTTTCATTAGCTTGAAGAAAATTAGAAACAAACAGATTAACTATCATTCTATTACTTTTCTTAAAACTGCTCTTCAGGTTGAAGGAAGTTTTCCGGTGTCTAAGATTCATAATGACTCTATGGTAATTTTATAACAATTCAAAATAATTTAGCAATCCTTTGCAGTAATTATTTAACACCATAGTAATTAGTGACTATATATATTAAGTGGTTACTGCACAAAAATACTGAATTACTATAAAATATTAAAAATTCATAAAAGACACAAGATACCTGCAAAACACCATAGTGGAACCCCCAGGCAATGGCCTGGCTTCCAAGCTTTCTTAAACAAACAGATGCCATAATTTTTTACCAGCTATTTTTTATAACATCCCAAATGCCAAATGAGAATTTTGACGCCTAAATTAACAAATTCCAATCAGAGTGGCATATTATGGTTTCTCATTCCAAACATGAGTGGGAAAGCATTCCCTACGAAGAGGGCAAACATGAGAAGTTCCCATAAGAAGCCAAAATAAATTGAACTAAACCATTTAAGAAGTTTCACATGGGTTAGGGTCCAAGAAACATAAAAGATTCTGTCTTTACCCGGCAAACCATTAAACATAAATTGAATCGATGAAAGGATACTGAACAATGATGTACAGTCTTTACCCACTGCCTTCATCAGTATTTCATCCCCTGATAAAGATATTTTGTCAAAAAGAAGCCATTAAGCAGAAACACAAAGCACATAGGATGTGTACCACACTTTTGGGTTTAGATGATATATTTTAATGTATCACATGCACAATTAGGGAGAACAAACAAACAAATCCAAAAAGCTCAAGATGCAAGACCGCAACTAGGAAGTTTCAGAAACATCAAGAATTTGGAACTTAATATTCATGAACATCCAGTGACTAAACACAAAGTAATGCTTCTCTTACTATTAAGCAAAATCCAGGAAATGTGTAAAGCTTTGAAAATAAAGCACCAAACTCATCAGACAGAAATTTTACGTAAGGGTAAAGGAACAAGCTCGCTAGATGCACTATCAAGACTAATAAACAAGGAGACTATAGTTCCCATAGACCATTCAAAAGATACTAACTAGTTTTGTCTCCAAGCAAGGAGTGGAAGTTCCATGACCATGTAAACAGTAACAAAGATGGAGCGAACTGACAGATTCCACTTGAATTATGTAAAAATCATGTATGAGAAGAAACAAAACCAGCCACTTAACCAACATGACATAATGAAATCCATGACGAAGTTAGAAACATGATATAGTGAAGTCCATGGTGAAAGTCAGAATGTTAATCAACATAGAGATCACAAGTTAACAACCAGGTACAAATTAAGCCTAGAAAGTTATCCACAAATATGAATTGCATGTAAAGTACTGGACAAACCCATAAATATGAATTGCATGTAAGAAAGACTAAGAACATTCGTTCACTGCTGAGATTGCAGACAAATATTTCTTCTTGCCAAGAATGCCTGTCTTCCGATAAGAAGAAATTTAAGCAAGCTAAGTTTTCTATGACTCCAAACCTGTGGGATTCTAGAACTAAAATAAAATAGCACGAGTCACAGAAGAAATAAATTAGAACTTCAAAATGGTAGAAGAATACGAAAAAGAAAATGCTGCAGTGCAGCTGCTTCCTTCAAGTGCATAATCAATAGTTCTAATTGGGTGGCATGAGCTATTGGCACATGAGCTTATTACATGACACATCGTTATTAAACTATATTATCCGTCAGTACATAATATCTGATGACAGATTGAAGTTCGATAACAGTACGAAATCATCAAGCAATCAAATAGTGATAGCTTATGTAACTTAGGAAAATATTTAAAGCAAGTGCATTGAAATAACATGGACTATGAAATCCTGAGAGACAAAATCAACAAAAAGCCTTTGTATCAGATCCCCTAATTTGTCCTTTAGAATTTTTTTAAAAAAAAACACCTATTCAACATGCTGAAACTGATAAAAAATAAAACAAAATCATTTGAAACACATCTTAAACAAGTGTCTGTCCATATAAATGCATGTATGCCAACATCGATCTTTGTATAGAAAGATATGTTTGCCAATATAATTATCTATATCTTTACAACACACGGGAGTTGCTCCAATGAGAAGAGAGCATGAAAAACGTGCCCATACCTCCAGGGTGAAACTTCATGTATGGAGATATATTATATACACGGCCTTTTAGAACAGTCCACATGGAACCTTCAGATTTGTGTTGCTTGACCTCATTCATAGATATAAGTCTTCTATTTGACTGTCCATTCAATCCTAAAGCACAAATTCACAAAATCAGGGTGAACAATAACTACCATCATCAAAAACTAAATTTTTAAGTTTTTTTTATTCCCTAAAAGGGTCGCAAGGCACAGGTTCACATCAATATTGTACTCCAATATACTGAACAAAGGATGACTCAGCAAAATCTATATAATTTTTCACAGTGGAGGAAGTTTAATCAAATAAGGCAAGTGTCTCCACTGCTTAGACAAACACATTAGCATACATCAAAACCCAAAACCAAAACATAGTATCAACTAGATGAGCGGTGAACAGAGCCATTGGCTTTTAAATAAAAAAGGGTCCATTACCATTCATTTAACTATTATTTTTGAGAAAGAAGTGGGGTGTAAGCTCACATTTCTTAAACAGCACAAATGAAACTGGAAAGCATCCTTGAACTTTTCTAGATTGAACAAGTGATATCACTGTGTAATTGTTATCACTATTGGCACTAGAATATTAGGAGTCTATAAACATACCCAGACTTCTAAGACACTACTGAAAGGCCCATAGAAGTACCTGCAAGATCAGGATGTGTCCGAGTAAGCTTAAGCCAGTCCATTTGGCTATAACCCTTCTCAAAAGGAACCTTGGCCCGGGCTTCACGTTTCTTAACTGAAGCCTTAGGTTCTTCTGGATTCTTAACTGAAGTTCCAAGGGTGCTAGAGCCTGCTTGTCTTGAAGATTCATTAGATTGTCTTGAAGATGATGCCGAAATCACATTGAAATTTAAAGAACCTACAGTCTCCTGCTTCTTGGAGTTGGCATCAATAAGGAAATTAGGTTTCCACAAAAAACCACCATTCTGATCGCTACCAAAACCATTTGAGAGCTCATCCTTAATAGTAATATCATCTACACCTGATGTAAGATTCTTCACCTCAATAATGTCTTGATTTTCGGGGGCACTAACCTTAAACAGAAAACCAAAAATTTTAACACCTAGAATTCACACTGACGGGACTCACCCAGTGAAATTTAATTTAAACCCACCTGACAAAATGTGAAACTATCTTCTCTATCCATCCTAACCTTATGATTCAACTTCAGAATCAATTGAAGCAATCCAACTCCTGTCAAAAGGAAGCACAAAAATGCAGCAATATTACGAAGTGGTATCACATTAAACGAATCCCAGAGAAAAAAACAGAATGTACATATCATGCTAAAAGAAAAATATTGAACCAAATGGCTCCACTTATTTGAACTTGTAATCCTCTTTTTGTCAGTAAGAACTTCAAAACAATTGGGATCGGCAAAGACAAGCATGAGCTTCAAAGCCGTCTCAATTCTAACAAGTAGATAAATAATAACTCCAAAGCTGAATTCCTTTTCAACAAATAAAAAATGAAAACTTAAGCCGAAAAATTTAGGTTGGTGTAGTATCAAGATTATATTCTGGTTCACTAGAAATATCAATCATCATGATAAAACTTTCAAAGGCTATAAACTCTGGTTGCTTGAAAAGTCTGCATGTAGAAATATGAAAGAGATCACTTCCTTCCCTCTGCTGAAGAAATTGACGGAGCAAATGAAGTCACTCTCTTGAATATATGAAAGGGAATCTAAATTTTAAAAAGCCAGAGAAAAAAAAAAGTTTATCCTAATTCATGATAAGCACCCAACATAAACATTTCCAAGTCATTACCATAAGTTTCTCCTAATTCAGTAAGTCCTTTGGCAAAAGTTTTACACATAACATACCGTAGCAATAACTAGCTAAAGTTTAAGATCTTGCATATATACCGATCAGTAACACCTATCAATATCCTCCATTTCAAGCATAGGAAAGAAACTAAACCGGAAAAAATAGTTTACCATCACAATCTCAGCTCAGCATATACATGAACTGGATGAATGCGCATCCCCTTACTAGACGAATGCCCATATGCATGTTATGGATATTCAATTATAATTCTACTCGAACAAAATCACTTAAACATCAATCGAAACGAGCAACTTGTTGCAATTTCTCAAAGAAGTAACGTTAATCTATGAAATAGACTGAAACAAATTCAAATGGACAACGGGGCAATTCCCCTGAAACTCAAACAGAAGAACAGTAATGAACTGAAATTCCATTGAAATATCTATTTCATTTAACCAGAAAATACGAAAGAAAACGCTACACAAAATTGAAGAGTAGGATAGACGATCCTCCAAAAGATGTTCAAGAGTTTGACAGGACCCTACCAGACAACGAAACTAAGAGAGGTTGCGACGTGAACCTCTGATCGAATGCCAAGGAGCCGATGCCCGATCCAGACCGAGGATGACCAGACAGAGAGAAGAGAGGAACTGCAAAATCAGAGAAGAAGAAGAAGAAAGGAAAAAGCTGAAGCGAGTCGCGTTGCCGGGAAAGACCAAAGTGAAAGAGAGAAAGCTGACCCAGATAGCGCACCGTTTTATGCCGTGCTTACTGCTAACGCAGTTTTGGTATACATTGTCTTACTTTGCATGATGATTTTCTTCTTTCTTATGTAGTGTTTGGATGCCTAGAAAATAAGACAGCCACAATATGTACGTCATTGGCCTATTAAATAAATGCTAATTTAATATTATTGTTATTTCTTTTTTGATAAATTCATAAATAACTTCATAACTTTATTAATTATTATATAAAATAAAATTTCATTTATTTTATTATATTATTTTACTTTAATTTAATTTTTAGTGTCCATTCATTGTTAGTCGTGTTAAATTAGCAATACTCTTTACAAAAAAATTATGTATTTATATACATATATAATTTTAGTGAACGAAAAATTAAAAAAATATAAGTCCCAACCAAATAAAATTTTTGCAATGGATGATTTAATTTTAGTTAATTAATTTAATTATTGATGTGCCATTTTAAAATTATGAAAATAATTTTTTTTGAGTGTAGACAAAATTTTAAATTATTTAGTAAAACGATAATATTCAAATAAAATTAATAAAAATTAATATTTTTTGTTAATTAATTCACGATTACACATAAAACAATAATTTAATCTTTTAAAAAAATAATGAAAAATATTTAATTAATTCAAACAAAAAAATAATAATTTATATGCGAATATTTAATTAAATCAGGGTGTTTTTGTGTGTAAAAATATATTATTAAACATAATTAAATAAGCCCAATGAAATTCTGTGCTATAAATACCCCGCCATAAGTTTTCTTCTTTCCCTCTCCAATTACTTCAGCTTTCGTCTCTTTCCGGAATCTTTGAGCGGCTTCCTCTGCCATTCTCCATCGTCCATCTCAGACTCACTGCCCGGATTCCGAGGAGCACGGAAAATTGCTCCTGTCGCGGTTCCGCTTTTCAGTCTTGGCGCACTGAACCGTAATCCAGGCGCCGCACGAGCTGTGCGAAACCAACACTTAGGGTAACGTAGTTCTAACCCGTGCTTGTTGATTCTTAGATGAGTTTTGAGTTTGTTTGATTCTCCTCTGAATATTTTGGAATCTAATTAATTAAGCAGTGTATTGGTTGAGTGAATAGGATTCTCGTTTCTTTTTTTCTTTTTCTTTTTGTTTATTTGGAATTTTGTGGTTAAATGGTTATATCTATGAATTTCAATTCATCTGGTTCTCCATATCTGTTGTTTGGTGGGCTAGGCCTGTGTTAGATTAATTTTATATCTTATAAAAATTGCAAGAATGATCAGTATGTTTGATTCTCATCTTGACTCTTTGTTCGAGTTCTATCAACTAACTGGATAGTCACTGCATGTATATGGAAGAATTATTTGGGTGTAGTGAGTTGAGATATTCATTTAACGTTTTTTCTTTTTTCTTTTTTCTTTTTAAGTTCTTTTCCTTGAAATGCATGCTTTTCGGAAATTGGACAGATGTTACGGTTGGTTGTCACATGATCTTGTTGGTTATTGATACTGATGTGTAAAATTATGGAAAAAGAAAATATTTGGACTGAATGCACATGTTATGCTTTCAGAGCTACAAGGGGAAAGAGTTCCATAACAGGAAAAGACCCGAGAGAGGAAGAGGAAGAGTGACCAGAGTCCGGAAAAAGCAAAGATGATCATTCCAGTTCGTTGCTTTACCTGCGGCAAGGTAAGTATTTAAAACAGTTTTGCTGTTTTTTAAATTACATTGATTTTGGGTATGAATATTGTTGTTTGTTTTTCTAGGTAATTGGTAACAAGTGGGATACTTATCTTGACCTTCTCCAGGCTGACTACAGCGAAGGGTGAGTTGTGTTTGGACCTTGCAGAATTCACTTTGCTATATGATTGACTGATGGGGAATAATGGCATAAATGGACTGCTGCTCAGTTCTTAAATTGCAAAAATAATATATGATAGATTAGGGATCAAACTGCATGAAGTCTTTGACATTGCAGTTCTTAATTGAATTATGATACGGTGCTGACTTTTTTTATAAAAAAAATGTAGTAATAACCTTGCAGTTCTTAATTGAGTTATGTAGTACTTGCAGTTCTTAATTGAATTACATAGTACTGACCTTAAATCTCCTCATTTAGGCCCTGAAATTATTAATCATCATGGGCACGTACTATGTTGGCGAATCTCTGTCAGATATTTCTAAAGTTTGTTCCTGTCTGAAGAAGGTTTAAGCAGCTTTCAGTTACCTAGGGAACCTAGTTTCATGATTTAGCATGTATTAAATCTGCCATGTTAGTTTTTGGTATGAGTTTCTATCTTGTTTTCTGTTCATTCTGTGTCATGTATGTAATGGGAAATTGATGTTTGGAAATTCTACCATGCCTTGCATTGTGTCTCCACATGTTATCTGAGGTATAATTTATTAATTAATTGCATTGCTTTTATCCTTGAAGTTTCTTTTCTCTGTTGTTGTCTAAGGGCTGGAAATATGTAGTCACCATGCCTTTGAGGTATGGGACTAGCAGCAATTAATGTTTCTGGTGAAAAAATACATTGAACAATGGATTCTAACCCTTAACATCCTAGTGATTTTCATTATGTTATAAAATTTAATACACTGTCATCCATGTACCCTTATTTTCAGCTGCTATTTGCAAAATGCATTCTTTCAATCTTTAGCCTGAGTAAGGGGTAGATAGCTTCTATATCCATAATATTGCACTGATCACTTAAGCATAACCTACTTTGTGGATTAGTTTTAAATTAGGCAGTATGATACAAACAATTACTTATGGTTGTTTGGCATGCAGAGATGCGCTTGATGCACTGGGATTGGTCCGCTATTGCTGTAGGCGAATGCTCATGACTCATGTGGATCTCATTGAGAAGCTTCTGAACTACAACAGTACTTTTGTTCCTCCTTTTATAACCTTTCATCTCCAATTTTCCTTCCCGTATCTTTGCGTTGACTCAATTTCTTTTGCAGCCTTGGAGAAGTCGGATAATGCTTAAGGAAGCCTGTGGAATTATCTGGGGTTAGTTCTCATGGCATACTTTATTCCAGTCATGCTGGTGTGGATCCTTGTCTATGATTACTAAGTTTTGTTTGGCCGAGATCATTTTAGTTTGCAACTTAGAATTTGAATTGCAAAAAAGACCAGAAATTAATGTTGAACTCTGTAGTTTTTATTAGTGTTGGAGCATAGGAAATAATATAACTAGCCAAATTTTAAGATGTTGCATATATACCGATCAGTAACACCTATCAGTAGCCTCCATTTCAAGCATAGGAAAGAAACTTAACCGAAGAAAAAAAAGGTTACCATCAGAATCTCAGCTCATATACATGAACTTGATGAATGGAATGAATGCCCATATGCATGTCATGGATATTCAATTATAATTCTACTCTAACAAAATCAACATGAGTATCAAACCAAGTGACCAACTTGTAGCAATTTCTCGATGAGGCAACGTTAATGTATGAAAACAGATTGAAACAAATTCAAAGGGACAATGGGGCAATTCCCCTGAAACTCAAACAGAAGAACAGTTATGAACTGATATTCCATAGCAACCTAAGAAGAAAGACTCTCCATTTCAGAAAGGAGTTCTAAAAACTAGATTTTTAATTGCTGAAGGGACCTGCAGAATGGTAAGGGATGACAACATAATTCACATATCTTGGATTCCCATACTGAAGGGATTCTAATCCTAGTCATGACAAAAAGATTACAGTTACTTGTTTGTTAGCTAGCTCATCTGCCAACGAACAATGAATTCGGATCCAAACAAAATCACAAGCCAATTTGACTCGATAACAATTTAAAAGATCCTTAAAAAAAGCTCTCTACAAGTATAAGGCATGACTTCCTGAGTGTGTAAAGGTCAATACACTGTTAGATTTGCCTACGAGACAAACCATAATGCAGTGAAGGAAGGGAATGCCTTCAAAAAATCTTCATTCAACTAGAAATTATTATGAAAGTTGAAAATCCAAAATAGGAGCAGACTATTTTACCGGCCAAATTTTAAATAAAAAGTCTATCAAACTTACCAATAACAAAAAGATTCAAAGAACATACATCTACCATGTGATCAAGGTCTAGAATCTTGATTCACTGTCCTTCAAACAAGAATCATGTGGATTGCATTCTACATGATCTCTAAAGTTCAACCTTCTAAATTTCTCGTCTATTTGAGAATTCATGCTAAATATGCAGAAAGAGGATTCAAATTCTTGTTATGTTTTCTGGGTGCCCATAATAGATTCAAATTCTTCAAATTTTATTGGGCCCAATCCCTGTGGAATGCCTGTTTGTCAATTCGTAGTTATCTAAAAATGTTGGAGATAATATATATTGACAAGTAGTTTTATTGAGAGAGTAGATACAATCATGGATCTTCATTAATGAAGTATGAAGACTTTTTGGGTCAACTCACCTACTCATTATTCTAGTGAGCCCTACAATCTTGACTTTGGACAACAATCTATTAAAAATAATTAGATTGTAAACGACGGCGTAGTAAATGCTTTGCAGCTGCTTGATAATAACATTTTGCATATATGTACATATATATATACATATATATGTATTGAAGGTATTAATGGAGCTGGTGGAAAATTTCTCGGATGATCAGATTCAGAAATCTTTTAAATGTATTTGCATTTGCAGGGTCTTGATTTAATTCATTGTCGACTACGTGATCAATTTTCTTTCTGTTTACTTTCCTAAACGGGACCAATCACTTAATTTCTCAAGTAATTCCATTAAAACAACTTTCATCTGTAGTTAAAATTACCCACACCCACACCCACACCCACACCCACACCCACGATTTAAAAACCCACTCAAACATCTATAGAATCAATATATATATATATATGTATATATAAGGAATACCGGAGGCGACATGGAATTTTCCATTAATTGAAATAAGATGTTAGATATATTAATTATAAATATATATACTATACAAAGATAAAGTTTTAGTATTATTCACTCAAATTTTAAAATATAAAAATAAAATTAATATAATAATTATAGTTATATATAGAGAGAAGATATTTTAAATATTATCTGCTTCAAATAAAATTAATTTGATAATATATATAATAATTATTTATTAAAATTTGAAATATAAAAACACTATTTTTTTTAATTGACTACAAATCTTAACTTTATAATTTCTAAATATAAAAACAATTTTAATAATATATATATAATAGTTATTTATTTAAAATTTATAAATATAGAAATATATTTTAATTTTTGATTCACAAGAATTACATTTCAATAAAATTTTATAATATAAAGATAAAATGCAATTTTGAATTAATTATATATCATATTTTCCATAATTTATAAATATTACAATAATTTTGATAAAATATATAATAGTCATTTATCTAATATTTTCAAATATAAAAATAAAATTTATTTTTTAATTAACTATAATTTATATATTGTATAATTAATTTTAAAAATTAGAGACGTGGTTTGAGTTTTAATATATATATATATATATATATATTTGTGACTTACGGTGAAACTACAATGCCTCATTATTTACGCAGAGGGAATGTACGTACATGAATGTGGGGCCCGTATAAAGAATCCATGCAAAAACTACTGAGGAACGAAGATGAACAGAAACCCCACAGATTCAAACATATTATATACATATAGATACTGTACATATATGTATAACTACAGAAAAGTCTTTCAGGCCAACTTGGGAATGGTCAGGGGCGAGGCATGGTGAAGGTGTTTCCTTTTTCAAAAGCGACAGTTGGGTGCATTAACTCTCCCAACACGGTTTTTAGATGAGAAGATGATCCAAATTTAATTAACCTTTCTTCCCCGCCATTAATCCCTTCTCTGTTCTCCATCTATATAAACCCCTTTCTTCACTCCCCACTACTCACTGCTCATCATCTCTTTCCAGTACTACACCACTCACATAACCAACACAATGAAGAAGCTTCTTCTCATTTTGCTTCTTGGCCTTGTTGTGACCTGCATTGATTGCAGGAAGCTGGTGGGGAATGATGAATATCAGAAGGGTTTATTTGAGGATCAGAAGAATTTATTTCACCGCGGTGGTGGTGGTCTTGGAGGTGGTGGTGGGGGAGGATTAGGTGGTGGGGGAGGGTTAGGTGGTGGAGCTGGATCTGGGTTTGGTGGGGGTGCCGGAGGTGGTGGCGGACTCGGTGGTGGTGCAGGAGGTGGTGCAGGAGGTGGTGCAGGAGGAGGGTTCGGTGGTGGTGCAGGAGGTGGTGCAGGTGGAGGGTTTGGTGGTGGAGCCGGTGGTGGTGGTGGGTTTGGTGGTGGTGGTGGGTTTGGCGGTGGAGCTGGTGGCGGAGCTGGTGGTGGGTTCGGTGGTGGAGCTGGTGGCGGCGGTGGCTTTGGTGGTGGACTGCCTTGAAGATTATAATGATAATATAAAGTATTGAAACTTATATTTATATGATCATTTCTGAAAAATGTATCATGGGGTATAATTAATTAAGTACGGTGTTTTTTACCAGTTATATTTAATTAAAAAAGAAATTGTGTGTGTTAATTTTTGTTTTAGTTGGTATCTTGTGCTGATCATGTGATGGAAAACAAAATTAATTAAGATTGGACCGTGGACGGACGTTGGAAGTAATATATGAATGTGCATATATATATATATATATATATATGTGTGTGTGTGTGTGTATTAATATTGTAGATTGCATTATAGTATATATAAATGTATAGATATTGATATATACATGAAATATATTAGGGTATATGCGTCCAATCAAACAAATAGTGTTATGTAAGAGGTAAAGTTCGCATGGAAGTAAATATTAAAAAGATTGAATAGTTAAGTCATACGTAGAGTGCTGGAAATAGTATTGACAATTCCAAATTTATTGTTTTTTATTAAGCCTTTTATTGAATAAAAATGTAATTTCTATAAATTAAATATATATATATGTATGTATGCATGCGTATACGTATACTAACACGGACAAGTATGTTTTTACGTATCTATATATATATATATATATATACAAGCACATTAGAATGACGAGAATAATTTTTATTTTAAATCAGATGATGAAGGTAAAAGTTAGCATATAGTTGATTAGGATTAATTTATAATATTTGATTTAATAAAATAAATATTTTAATTTATTAATATTTTAATTATATTATAGTAATTAAATTGAATTAAATTTTGATAAATTTATTAAAAAATATTTTGATAATAAAAAATAAATTTTTTAATAATAAAAATCATTTGAGAACCGCTAAAATGTCAAAATATGTTGTTATAATAAATAATTTTCAATATTCAAAACTTCATACACATTTTTCAGAAGGCCATGAAGTCTGTACTACCATATGTAGCCCATGGGCACACACACTCATGGCCCCATAAAGGGTGAAAAGGTCTCATCTCAAAGGGCGGTTTCCAGACAAAAGGCATAATGATAAAGAACCTTATTTAACAAAAATATCACATTTTTAGCATAAGAAAGTGGTTGCACACAGCAGCAGCCCAGGCAGGGGCAGTCCAGCGCAAGCATGGTAGCCTACAGCGCGTGTGGCAGCCCACACTGCCGGTTGGGTATGGCTGCGTGCGCAGCCCAGAGGGGGGTGTGTGCGAGGCCTGGTAGCACGAAGCAGCCAAGTGCGCGTGCGCAGCACAGAGGGGGTGTGTGCGAGGCCTGGTGGCATGGGGCGTGTCAGCACTCACTGTGCTGCTGGGGGCACACAGGGAGATAGGCACGCACGCAAGGGGCCTGCACCGCACTGTGCTGCAACGCAGTGGTAAAACAAGTATTCGATAACAGTTAATTTTTCATTCATTAAAAAAATAAATACCAGAAAGTCCTTTTTTTGGGTTGAAAAGGGGCCTGCACCGCACTGTGCTGCAACGCAGTGGTAAAACAGTTACCCATATCAAACAAAATGCAGCAAGAATTTTAGTCATGCCGAAAATAAATTATTGATACACTGTTTAAGTTAAATCCAATAATTCTGAAAGCTGCAAAGAAAAAGATGTACAGCTCCAATCCAATTCTCAACTCCAAGAGGATGAATTTCAGATTGGTGTGGCCAACATTGTCGGAGTTCTATGCCACTGGCTGTATTATTAGATCCTGACTTCTATGCCTTCCTTCAACAAGTGCTCTTTTACTGATTGAACAGGGACCTGCAACACACAAAATCAAGTATAAATTTAAGCTGTTTAAAACCAAACAGCCCTTAGAATATTCAAGAGAGAGTGTTTCAAATATGCATTTAACTCTCAGAAAAATGAAAGCTCCATTATGGTAACCATGAACTCCGATCTTCTCTATGCCTTGACAAAGTGGGACAGTACTATTATAAGTTTGATGAACCGTCAAAATTAAAATTTTTTTATATTAAAATCTAAAAGTTTAAGTAATAGCACTTGGAATAAATTTTGAGAGTATTTTCTAACAAAATAAAGCATGTGTAAGCAAGTTCAATATTCTGATCTAACTACAGTTGAAGTTAAGATAGCTGGCATGAGTAATATAGCTGGCATGAGTAACTATAATTGTTAAAAAATCAGCAAGATTTGATCTCAAATCACGAGCATATCTCTTCCGTTTTATGTTGTCTAAAAGGTTAAAGTAAAGCATTCTTGCTGTAAATATCTGGCAGGGGTTACACACAAGAGTCCTAGGAGTCTATGTTACTGAAGCCAAAGTCCGGGGATAGTGAGAATCTGGTGAATCCTTGAACTTATAATTTTAATGGTTCTTAATTTGGTGTCGTTCTATTTGATTTAAATAATTTAGGAGGAAGAATATCATATCCTACAAAATTTTCAATTTATCTGTCAAAAACAAAAATCAGCACTAGTTTCGTTCACTTTAGATGAGCTAATGGGATAAGAGCCAATCAACAAAAATACTGCATGGAAATTTAATGGCCTAGGAAAACCCTACAATATAGTATTGCAGTGCAGATTAAGCATCCAGAAATACTTAAAATATGTCCATTTCAGATACAATCAGAAGTTTGGACAAGATTGTCTATATTTACCTCCTTTCGATGGAAAATACCAGCAGCAAGGGCTGCAGATGCATTTGTTTTTGTAAACACCTCAGAGAAGTGCTCTGCAGCACCTGCCCCACTACTTGCAATTACAGGGATGCTAACTGCATCTGAGATCAACTTTATTAAATCTATATCAAATCCTTTCCCTTGACCTGAAAAGGAAACAAGCAGGTATTGTGACCACAAAGATGGAAAAATATGTAAATTAACCAGTAAAAGAATGAACCAAAAATGACTCGAGGCATGCATCTCAAAAGACGTCAGTATCCTTCAATGCAATATGAGTTTAAAGATTTTTAATAATCACTACTGTAAGAGACTGTTTAGATGTTGCAAATTAAAACTACAATATTAAATCCTTGGGTCAAGTTTTGACCACTATTTCCAATGGACAACGATTACAAATTTCAATACCATTTTCACCACAGGCCTCAACTAAAAACATGAGTGGGGATTACAAAAAATCCTGAAGGCTGAACGTTTCATACCATCACAATCAATGCAGTTTAAGAGTATTTCTCCAGCTCCTAGCTCTTCAACAGCTCTAGCAAGCTCATAAGCTCCAATGGGCCGACCTTCTCGCCCACCATTAACCTATAAAACCAACAAAACAGATTCAATTTAAATGCAATAAATTAGAGCTTTTGAAATACAAACTTTGAAGGAAAGATATATAAGAACAAGGCCAATCATAATGCAGAATACAACATCCTTACGGCAAATTGGCAATGGCCATAACAACATAAAAATAAAGGATAAATACTACGAGAAAACGTTACTGAGCCAAATATTAATCTATGCCAGTTTAATGAACTATGATTAATGCAAAAATGAAAAAAGCAAGTCATGCCTACCGTACACTGATACCACACATATTCTTCCCCATTTGGACCTGAGATCACCAACAGAAACACAACGATCAACAATCATGGGGAACTATGTAAACAAGTTCTTGAAACTCGGATAACTAAGCTTCCTTCATAAAAGATCCCATTGTTAGGGCATTGCTTCTTTACCTGGGTTTGTCATCCTTATGGACTTGAACTCCACATCATTAGGGCTACTGATATAAACCCTCCGTGGATCAATGCTTACAACCACTGCCTGTCAGGTACATAAAAAATCAGCTCAGTACATGTCCAAGATCAAGTTTACCCAAAAGTTGTAACTAAATAAACGAACTACCCAGTAAATTAACTTTTACAAGTACCATCGCAAAATTTTACAGGAATGGATGACTTAAAAATTTTACAATTATAAAGTTTCTGTTGTAATCATCACTTTCCGATTAGCATGTTATGACAAAAGAATAATGTAATAATGTACATATAGAAGCTACAAACTCTGAGGAAATGTTAAAAACTCTAATACATGCAGAAGCCCAACTGATAATCAGTGAATGTTATGAGTCATGAAACTCGCTCAAATGGGGCCCACTAAATGCCAACATAAAATTACTTCTCCCTATTTTGTCTTAAAAGTACACTTAACATACTAGCGTAGAAGGAATATTGACAAGTTAAAGCATGCATGTTACCAATAAACAAGAATGCATGTAAAACAAGAAGCAGGGACGCGCATATCAGACAAAAAATTACCTGGTTTCCATAAACTCTAGATATTTGTTCCAAGCTGCTCTTTCCAGTCTTTACCTACACAAGCATAATTTTAGAATTACCACTAAGGGCCTACTTGCATGCACACACAACAACATTAGCTTCAGAACTTAAAGAAAGTAGATGAGAGAAGCCAAACATACTCCTGTTTTCAAGTATTCTTCTGCAGCATAGACTGCATCACTTCCAATAGAAATCTTATCAGCCCCAGATCTGAAATATTCTGAAGCAACTTCCAAGCTAGAATAGTGCCTAAGATGGAGCAAATTAAATACATTTTAGTCATTCACTTGATCACTCAGAAGTTGTGAAACTATAGAACCATTGATCTTCCTTATAAATGAAGTTGAAATATAACAAATGGATATATAGAGACTGAACCACTTTGAAGATTAGAATATACCTGCCATTTGCATCAGTAAAATCTCTTATCCCACCACCAACTGTTAATGGGACAAAAACATTTTCTGAAGCATATCGTAGAACCTGAGAAGCATAGAAAGCATTTAAATTAGACAAAATGCATAAGGAAATAAAAGGGATTAATACGCGTTGCAAAAAAAAAAACCTTTTCTGAGGAACCTGATGCAACTACAACCTAACAAACCTGCAACATTGGCAAGTCACCTAAAGGAAAGTCGCGGAATCCTGTTATATTCAAAAAACTGACCTGAAATGAACAAGTAGAGAGGTGAATAACATATTTAAGAATCAAACCGAAAATCGAAGCATCATATGACATAGTCCAGGTGAAAATACTCAACGGAAGCATACCTCATCAGCCCCATCATTGTAGTACGTCCCAGCAAGCTCCACAGGCTTGCCAAGGT